TTCGAGCATACGCCAGGGTCCTATAATTTGACACGGACCCACTGGAACTGTCAAAACATGGATTCGGACCCGTTTACCAAAAATATTGACCGAAGTCAACTAAAATCAACTTTTAAGGTAGAAATTCTTATTTTCATTAGTTTTCAACATAAAAGCTTTCCGAAAATATGCCCGGACTGCGCACATAAATCGAGGAGGGTAAAAAATAAGATTTTTTTTTAAGGTTTAAGAGCGCAGATTCGAGTTCTAAAACATAAGATGACCTTTTGGGTCATCACACAAGGGTAGAATCATGCAGGTACCTTTCCACAAAGTATGTCCTCATCAGTGATGAGGGTGGAGCCAAAAATTAATGAGGAGGTGATGTCCCATCGAGAAAAGAACCAGTGGATAAAAGCTATGCAAGAAGAGATAGAATAGTGGGAATATCAAAAGAAGGTTATTTCTTTTGAGTGTTATAGTGGTCTTTAGAGTATTTTACTCGGACCTACAAAGTATAAAAAATTTTGTTATAATGATATCAGTTGCTCCTCTTGGGATCGTGGTTTTTTCCTTTATTCAGAAGGGTTTTCTACGTAAAAATCTTGATTTCGTTGCCACTCTTTTATTCTTGTTGATTACCGTATCTCGGTGTTATATTATTATTCTGTTGTTATTACCGTGAATATTATTATTGTGGAGGGTATATTTACAACACCTTCCACCACCACAAGAATCAGCCTTGCAACTCCCATCAGAATTAAGCTTAACAAATCAAATTCCCTGTATGCATGTGAAAGTAAAAAGTTCTTAATTTCATTCAAGCATTTTCACTCTCGAAGAGTCTTATTACCTGCGTATTGCTTCCTGTTTCTCATAAATGCTAAGAAATTTCGTTCGATATTGAATTACTTTGTTTGTGGAATTTTCAAGAACGTGTTTCTTTAAAATTTCCAAGAAGTTTTTGCAAAAGGTTCTTTTCAAAGCGTTATTCTTTTGCAGAATAAAAAAAAAGAAGTAAGTTTAAGGTGTTTTCCAAATAAAAGTATCACTTTCACTCAAAAAGCACTAACAAATCAACAACAACGTGTATAACCCCATAAATCGTGTGTGAGGAGGATAGTGTGTATACAACCTTATTCTACCTTATGCAGTCAGAGATTTCAGATAATTCCTCAACTCAAAGTAAGCATGCATAAGCAATCACAACAGAATAGAGAGAGAAACATAATACTGAAAAAGTCAAAAAAAAACAGTAACAAAATAATAGAATAACGAGAAGAAAAGTATTCATATAGTAATAGAAATCTAGGAATATAAAATACGGGAATGTTACTGCTTCTTAAATGAGAGAAAAGATATTCGACTGAAAAAGCACTAACAAATCCTCAACAAAAATTAGCACTGTCCACATATGCTCTTTCGAAAAAAATCGTATAAACTTGACCTAAAACGAATAATATTATACCATATCGCTTTATCAATGAACTAATATATATTGTACTGAAAGTTAAGGCAAGAGTAATAGTAGATCAAGCGTTGCAACCCATGAAGAGCTAAGAACAAGCCAAACGGAGTGATTGCGTGAAACGAGATTGGTTTACTGTCTTTGTCAGCCTACAAGAAATAAACCAAAAAATTAAGCTGAATTTATCTAGAATATATATACCTATATATAATTACTTATATATGTGTTTTTATATTTTTAGATATTTCATACTTTATTTGTTTCAATTTTATATGATAGATTTTCCTTTTTAGTTCGTGTCAAACGAATTAACTTTACAGTTCTCAATTTATTTTTTTATAATCACACAAATATTATGTTATTTTTACGTTCATAGGTTTCAATAGTTTTATAGCCACACAAATGTTATGATATGTTCTAGACTATAAGTATCTTTCTTAGACGCAATATCTATTCAAGTTATATCATATACAGTCAACCCTCTCTATAACAGTCTTGTTTGTTCCGATATTTTTTGGCTTTTATAGTGAATGACTGTTATACACATATAACATCATTTGATGTTTAAATATTTATTTTGGCTATTATAGATAAACTTATCCAGAGATCACTTATTTTTCCCTTTTTTAATTTTACATATATAAAAATAAGATAATTATTCAAATTTAAAATCTCAAAAGATATTCATATTTCACTAATTAAATATTGAAGAAAGCTAATAGATTATTAATAAATGCATACCTAAAAGTATAAAGATTTAAACTCTAAGGCAAAAAAAAAAAAAAAAAAAAAAAAAAACTCTAAGGCAAATATTTTAAAGCTACCTAAAAAATAATTTTTTTCAAGATTGATGGAAGAACTTTTAATTGTAGCGTGTTTCGTAGATTTTATTCTCATACTAGAGATATAACGCTTGAATTGGCAAAGATTCGTGTCCAAATTTTCAGCAGAAAGGTGGATATAGCTTTCCCTTGAAGATAATCTAAGAGCTTAACAATTCAATTTTTTATCTAAATATTTTTTAGAATTTGTCCAATGGAAAAGATATCATGTGCAAATCTTCAAATCTTATATCTTATGCAAGATAGATACTTTGTTTAATGGAAAAGATTGGTGTATATTTTTAGATTATTATTAGTAATCTTAAAGATTCTATTTGGCTGTTATAGAAGAATAATTTTACAAAGAACGTTCTGGTATAAATATGGATGTTGTTGTTATAGGTAAAAATTGTTATATAGAAGTAAAATATAACTTAAAAAATTGGTTTTAAAGAAAAATTTGGCTTAATAGTGAATGACTGTAAAATATGAATGATATAATAGAGAGGTCTGACTGTAAATTGAAATGCAAACAGTTTAATTATTCACAATTTGGAATTTACCTTGAAATTTTGACTCATGGGCTTATTGGTGATATAGCCTAAATATGTGGAAAATCATTCAAAATATGCTGATCTTCGTTCAATATCTAGTCACTTAGTTTGAGACATTATTAAATCTTTCATCAGTACCAACCATTGAGAACGAAAGAAGATATCTATAAGCATACAATGCTAAATTGAATTTAAAAGGTCAAAATTATTATTATCTAAATTCAAATTACTTTTTCTAATTAAGATAATTCCATCTATTAGCATAGATCCTTTGGGAAAATGCACAAAACCTAGAGGAACTGAAGAAACATTTAAAGAAACTTTTTATATTTTTCTTTGAGAATGATAAACTGTATGTATTGGTGAAGAAAAGATGCCCTTTGAACCAAAACAGTTGAATTCTCATCTTTAATAATTAGTAAGTTAACGTAGGATGCTGAGGTTAGATTCAAGTTCCATTAAAGTATGCGTCTATGTTGAGAATGGAACTCAACTCAATTTGGTTCAAATCAAAGATGAATACAGGAAAGATCGTATCTTGGTTTTTTCGAATGAAAAGATGAGAACTTTGGTAACAAATTAATTTGCGGCTAATTCAATGAAACCTAAAGATATGTCATTCAAGTTTGGGCTTTCGGGGAAGGCTTTATCTAATGAGAAAAGAAAGCCCAATATTTTCTCCTTAATGGGCTATATCAGCACAAATCAAAAGAAAAGAGATCTTTCTAGCAGACTAGTTGACTGTATTAGATAATACATATATTTGTCATTTATTTTTGTACAGAATATAATTCAGTAATTCATTAGCCAATTAGAAATTGGACATCTGTATAGGTAGTTATAGGAGAGAATATTCTCTCTGGCATTTTCGTTTCTATATAAACAAGCATGTACACCGTAAACATTAGCAAGTTTTTGGAATACAAAGAAAACTTTTTCCTAAATCTTTTAAATTCCTACAATGTCCACCTTCTTTTTTGTCAAAAAAAAAAAAGAAAAAAGAAAAAAGAAAAAACTTCTTTTTTGTGCTTTTTTAAATAATAATAATAATAATAACTATTATTATTATTATTATTATTATTATTATGTTGGAGAATGCCAACTTTTACTAGTGGTTGCTGTCACGGAAAAAGGAAATAAAATAAAGTAAAAAAGTTAGATAAAGTGAAGGTGTCTAGGTAGATATGAGACCACGTTGTCTATTTTAAGCGCACCATTTAAAACATAGTATTCAGCATCTTAAAAGTTATTGAAAATTTAGCTAATTTTGGCAAGCTGGATGCTGACCATACCATGCCATGAGAATGAGAGCGTCCTTTTGAACAAAATTAAGATGGTAGAGGAGATAATCGTCACGTGTGCCAAAGTGAAGGGGCTATTCTATTGAGTTTTAGCTTTAGCAGAAGTGGTTTCACAAAATGGTGTATATAAACATATAATGAGAGAAAGGGGCGAAGCAAAAGCTAGCCTTCAAATGTGGGTAAAACTTAACTCTTATTTAGGAGAGCTCGCTATGTATCTTTTCTTTTCCGCAAAAAAAAAAATCAAGTCCCCATGTAATTAAATAGACCGCATTTAAAATTTGTTTAGGAAGAATACGACTTGGACGACGGAATAGGGCTAGAGTGTGGGTCATGGTCAAATACGAAGGGGCAAATGCTTCCTGATCACACACACTCTCTCTCTCTCGCAAGAACATGCTCATTTTTTAGCAGTAGAGAGACTTTTCAAATCGAATTTCCTATATCTACTTATCTTTCAGAAATATATTATACATTTGCTCATGATCATGATTTAAATAAAAATAAGTCGCCAGGTTATAACAATAAATTTAGTTTTCTAATTGGGAAACATTTAATTATGAACTCTCTTGCTACTGCTTCTTTTTCTTCTTCAAACTTTTGGATTAACATCTGACACATATGATCTGAAATTAAATATACCAAAGTCTAACTTCAGATATCATGTTTGAAGTAAGAAACTCCAGACCTCATGTGTTAAGTTAGAAACTTCAGATCTGTTATTTCTTTCGACTCGACGGAAGTTAATTTTTAGGCGGTTAAAATTTTAAATTTGTTTGGCTATTCTTTAAATAGGGTCCTAAAACGGCTATTTGTGCACTTTCCCTAAGTTGTCTAGGCAATCGGCCCACTTTAGATGGGCCTTTCAGCCCAATCTTCTTCATTAAACATTACAAAACAGAGAGTACAGTTTGACAATTTGAGGAAGAGAGGAGTAAGGGAAACGGTGAAATAGCGGAGAAAGGTAGGATGTTCTTCAGCTGTCTGAAATTCATCGTCAAATCTTTCTTGTATCATGGATTCCTGATGCTTTTTTTTATCTTCAAAGTTTTATCATTTTGATTCATACAAGTTAGGTGGTCGAAAGTCTTTGGTTGGCGAATGTTTGTCAGTTGTTCGATATATTGCTTCAGTGAATGCACCTACTCTTTTTAACTGGTAGTGCATATTAGGGCTATTCTTTTTATTTTTCCCTACGTCCCATTTCATGTAACCTTGAGCATGTAATTTAAGAAATAAATTTTCTTCATATCAGTAGTGATGAAGAAACTATTAAAAATAATCTTTAGAAGTTAGTTTGTTGGAAAACTATGCCACCGGAATTTAAATTTGAATATCAATCAAGTGACTATACCTCCCAAAAATAGGTGGGTTCTGCCACCTAAGTCCTTTGGACACATTAGCTTTGTTCAGACGCCAACTTTAAATTCAAATAGTTAATGAATTTGAAATCTTGTTCATGGAATAACACTCGAAAATGGAATTATTTGTGTTTATGAAAGACTAGGAGTATATTTGTTATTTGTGATGGAGGGAGTATTTTCTGTCGTTTTAGTTGAGTTCTGCTACCATTTGTATGATGTGCATTGCATATCTGTTGTTTGGACAGGACTAGTACCCATGTGAACTAATACCATTGCTTATTTTTAAAGGTCTCTTTCTTATGGGAGTATGCTGAAACTCGTTTCTGAAGCGTTATGTGTGCGAGGAGGCCAGACAATTAGGTCTGTTCTATGTGCGCAAATTAGTGGCTTTCATACTGCAAAGGTAAAATTATTTGTCTTGATCTACTACTTCATGTAGCCTTCCTATTTTTCATATGTGCATAGATAGCTTTGGCAAGAAGGATGAAGGATGTTCTTGCTTCTGGCTGGTTGAGTTGAATGGTTTTCTAGATAAGACATGGGAACTTTAAATTTAAGCTAAAACAATTGCTACTTCTGAGTTTTCTTTTTTTGTTTTATGCAATGGTGTGTTTAACTATTGAGCACCATAAATATAGTCTTTAGGATTGAGTTTTGTGTATGAAGTCAATACGTTATTCTGATGGTGTACATACTAATGCAGAAGAGTGCATCTTTAACTCAGAATGCCACGAATTGTCATACAAATTTCCCTCGGGTAAACCGAACCGGTGAATTGATATTGGTAGGAATGCCACGAATTATCTGGGAATCAGTATAAAGGGCAGCCCGGTGCACTAAGCTACCGCTGTGCGCGGGGTCCAGGGAAGGGCCGGACCACAAGGGTCTATTGTACGCAGCCTTACCCTACATTTTTGCAAGATGTTGTTTCCCCATCTCGAACCCGTATCTGGGAATCAGTATAATATACTCATTTCCATACAAGGCTTTTAGGAATGAACTTCATCATTTCAGAATATCATTATCACTCGGAGATAAAGGCTTGAATTAGTCTAAGAGTCATTTGTGCTCTAGAGCCCAGACAGTAAAAAGACTTCTGCTTGCTATCAGTTACGGACATTGTTTCTCGTTCCATCCCGAGTTTGTTGATCTAGTTTGGCTTGTGAATATAGTCCAAGATTAAAGGAAATTTAAATTGTTTTAGACTTTGAATGATAGAGTTATGTACAGTTGTGCTTGAAAAATAGTTGGACTAAAGGGGGAATAAGTGTTGAAAGTAGTATGACCTAACAGTTTTTAGACACTCATTAAGACATACTGCACTGAAAAGCTGTTCCATATAGTGTCAAATAACTTTGAAAACACTGACAAAAAGAATTCAGTCTATGCTAGAATCATGTGACTGTCAAAAAGGTGAAACTGTGAAAGGTAAATACTTGACAGTGTTGGACAGTTCTAAGTAATAAGGAAAATTTAGTTTCCCTCATAGTTGCAATAATACCTTGGACATAATGGCCTTTTGAGATAACCACCTATTGTGTTGAGATGAACTCTTATTGTTGATTTCGTCTAGATGGTTTGAGAAATCTATAGTATGCTTATACATACAAATGCTTGTATTATGAATGGATGTGATTGCTTAATGGAAAAGAACAAGCTAATAAAGGAAGAAGGTGTGCATTTTAAGTGTTAACTGTAATGTGATATCATGCAAGGTTGCAGTAAACTAATATTCACAGTAGATGCTAAATTTGAAGTATAGGCAAGTTGGATAGGTGAATGTTGGACTTGAGAGAAACTAGCTTGATAAATGGTTTAACTTTATGTTTGTGTTAGTGTGCTATTGTTATTTTTTCACCTTTGCTTTTGTATAATGAAGCAGACATCCGCAGCATCAGGATACAGGTAAGTTTGGATCTTGTAAAAGGAAGAGATTCTTAGAATGGAACTATGGAAGTACAAATCCTTTAATCTTTTGGCTTGGATCTTCATCAAACCAAAAACGTACCTATACATTAAAGTTCTAAGTCAAGGCCCTAGCTCATTTCTAGCTTGGAATGAAACTCGACGTGATTAAGTGCCTGTGCTTCACTTAAAAAAATAAGGAATGACTCTTTCATCCGAAAAGAAATATATTAATAAGGAATAACTCTTGATAAAGACAGAAAACAAAAAGTTGTTCACTTCATCTATGTAGCACATGCTGTCAGCCCTACTCTAGGATTTGAAGCTTGTGGGTTCAAAATTCTAATTCTTTTAGGTTACTGGGTTCTAAATTAATAATTTGTATATATTCAATAGATTATTTTAGGACAAATACATGGTTAAGACCAAAGCTACTGGGTTCGGCGAACCCGTAGTCGAAGAGCTAGCTCCGCCCCTGGCCCTGCTTACATGTTTGTATACTTATGTCATCCTTGCCATGGTTGCACAGTTGTGATGTTACAAATGTGGCCTTCCGCCTCCTATGTTTGTATATGTGGGCTTGCTGTAACACTGAACACTTCCCTTTTATTTTGTGCACTTTTGAGGAATAAGAGGGATGGAAAAGAGAAGTGGGGAAAATTGTGTTCAAGTATCAAGGGGTTTGGTGCTTTTGTGTGTTAGCACACTATGTTGCTTTGACTCTCCGAAAATGTGGCCGGATACGTGTCGGATCCTCCAAAAGTAGTGCATTTTTGAAGGATCTGACACGGGTGCGGCTACATTTCGGAGAGTCCGCGCAACATAGCTAGCACATGATGTTCACAGTTATTGCTTTGCCTCTGTGTTTGTAACATTACAGTACTGATAAAATGTTATTTCATTAGCAAGTATTAAAAAATATACAAGTTCTATTTCATCCGTGTGTTTCCATACCCGCTTACCTGTATATATCTTTTATGGGTATTGTGAGAAGGCACGGGAGAAAATATGTTATTGATATTGGATCAACAATACAATACAAGAGGTCCTTATTTATAGCTATACTATACAAGGGCATAATACTCTTCTACCAATGTGGGACAATACTACACTATATACATGCTGTAAACTAACACTCCCCCT